GAGCAGATTGATGCTAGCAGGTAATGACTGAAATTCTCTTAATGTATTTTGCTTAAACGAATTGGTTGTGACTCTTGAGAGTCATTATGGGCAGTAAGGTATAGGGGATGAAAACAGGGGGGTTGAGGATTCAGAATCTGCACATTCATTAGTGGGACTCTCAGGCTACTTACTGTACCCTGCTCCCAGAACACTGGCAGTGATTTAGAAAACGATTCTTTTTTGGAAAAAAACAAGATGATCGCAGGTTTGGACACTGGGTAATCTCCTTTCAGTGAACCAGCTAGCTATCTGGCAGATCACCTCTGAGAATCCCCAGTGGATAAGCCACTTTCATGCACGCAGAACCTTATAATCAAGGATCCCCAGATGTTTGCAGAAAGTTCTAAAATGAAAAAAAAAAAAAAGAAAGCAAAACAGAGGAAACAGCAGAACAAAACTCTGAAAGTAGTATAGTTATTATCCATAGAGAGATAAGAGAAGACCTCTGATCCATAAAAGGGGAAAAAATACAAAATAAACAATCAGAATAAGAAAAGGCTTTTGGCTATTAAATACAGTGTTTAAAAATAAAGATTCAAAAAAAAGATGGGAGAGAGTTGATGAAAACGTCAGATTATTAAATGATAGAAAAATATGAAAGAAAATTAGAGGAAAGTCCCACATCTAGCAAAAAAAAGAGGGAAGAAATTATAAAAAAATAATACAAGAAAATTTCTTAGAACGTAAAGGTGAGAGTCTCAAGGTTGATGGGTCCACTGAGTGAGCAATAAAATAAATAGGAAAAAAGGCTCAGACCAGGGCACATCTTTAAAAAATGTAAAATCTTTAAAAATGCAGAGTTCTTTAGAACTCTAAGGATAAAGGGAAGACTCTAAGATCCCCCTATAAAAGCAGGTAACATACAAATGATTAGGAATCAAAATGCATTATTGGAAGTCAAAAGAAAATGGAACTCTTCACAATTTTGAGAGAAAATGTTTTTCAACCTAAAATTCCATACCAATCCAGGGAAACTCTCAGTTAAGTATGAGAGTAGAATAAAAATATTTTCAGACATGCAAGATTTCAAAATTTTTGTTTTTATGTACCTTTATTCCAAAAAGTTCTGGGGGATGTGCTTCTGCAATCACAAGAGTAAACCAAGAAATGAAGACACAGAATTTAAGAAATGGGATCCAACAGAGCGGAGCGCCATTGCGATCCCGGGGTGAGAGCTTGGCAGCAGGCCTAGAGAGGGCCAGTTCAGACTGGAACAGGGGGATGAAGAGCTCCAGAATGAAATTCTCCAGGAAAAAAAAAAATGCAACCAATGTGTTTGGGCTACGTGGAAGATATTATTGATGAGTGTGTACAAGAGATGAAAAAGCATCAAAAAAAAAAAAAAAAAAAGGTCGTAGGACACTGGGCAAATGAAACTTTTATAATTTAAAAAAGAAAATAAAGCAAATAATAGAAATGGAATGATTATGAACTCCAGGCAAAAATAGTTCTACAAGAAATTGAGCATGGCCATAGTATACTGGCTCTGCAGTGAACAATATTTGTAAAATCATCATAATATAAACACTGATTATAGATTCAATCGAACCTGTGATATGAGTATATTGAGAGGAATGAGAGGTGGGAAGTGTGAGGATGTATGAGAGAGTTAAGTCCCTATTGTCTATCATGGCAGTAAATCAATAGATACTAACTTAAATCAACAGATCAAGAAATCTCATTACACATTATTGTTTAGAAATATGCAGATAAATACCAGGGGAAACAGTTGAGGAGCAGAAAGCAGAAGCCTCTTGGAAAATGGCCTGTGGGTGGGAACTGTTACTTTTCATTACAACCCTTTTAGTACTAATTGGCTTTTAAAAAACATGTACTTGGAATATTTTAATATATTTAGTAAATAAAACCCAAAGAACCAGGAAAACGAATGATAGATTGATTATTAATCTAAATGACTCTCTAATTGGTGGAATGTCAGGATAAATAAAATTCAGAAACTACAGAATATGGATTGGGGGAGGTTGAAAGGGTACAATTCAAACACGAGTTTATACTGGTATGTTTCGATTGTACCGTGGTTATTTATGAAATGTACTGGGTTTTAGCAAACATACACTAAAGTATTTAGGAATAAAGGGACATCATGTCTGTGACTTACTCTCAAGTGGTTTTTGGGGAAAAACACATATATATATGTGTGTATATACATATGGAGAGAGAAAGCAAATGAGGTAAAATATTAACAATAGGAAAATCTAGGTGAAGATTATATAGGAATTCTTTATATTATTCTTGCCAGTTTTCTGTAAGCTTTAAATTATTTTAAAACAAACAGTTTTGTCATTTTGATAGGTAAGAAAAAGTATTAGAGTGGTTTTCATTTTATTTTAATTATTAGTACAGTTGAACACTTTTATGTTAATAGATCATTCTAATTATCTGTTTATGTTCTTTGCTCATTTTACATCATGGTGTTTATCTCTTCCCTATTGGTTTGTAAAAGCCATTTAAAAATCCTTTATCTGCCATATACATTGCATTTCTTGTTTTCTGTAGCCTTCTAATTTTGTTACAAATTTTTCTTTTTAATCTTGGACGACTGGCATATACATACAGTTCTGAAAACCAGACTTGTAGTTATTCTAGAAATTTAGATATCCTGTTGTTCATTCTGCAACTGTATATTAATAGGCAAAAATAATCTTAGTTACAATCCCGTCCTCAATTTAGCTATGTCGGCCTTCATCTGTCAGCCCTTATACTTTTTCTCCAAATCACCTATTACCTATTATCTTGGCATCCTTGGTCATAGAAAACATCTTTTTATTAAAAAAAAAAACAAAACTTAAAAGAACACACAGCACTATGGTTCTTTTTTTCTTTTATACCTACAGCACCTGATCTTCCTAGTTGGTCTCCCATCCAAGTACTAACCAGGCCCGACTCTGCTTAGCCTCCGAGATCAGACGAGATCAGGCACATTCATGGTGGCATGGCCGTAGACTCAGCACTATGTTTGTTTTTTTTTAAAATAAATATTAAATACTTTGCAACTGCGCAGAAACAGGGTATCTTTATAAGATTATCATAATAAGATTTTTGGGCAATCACAATGTTTTTTGATGCAGAAAATGAATGTAAACAGTTGAAATGCAAAATGAAGAATTCTTGATAATACAAATAATTGAATGAAAACCTAATTACCTTTAAGTTCCGGAAGCCCTGAGTGAAAGTCTTTACCTTCAATCATCTCATAGTCTAGAAAGGAAGACATTTAAGAACTAGGGTTACACTCACTGCAGATAAGGACAATGAGAGCAGATACGCAGAAGACAATGAGTCTTGCAGAGGAGGGAGCTTTGACTTGAGAGGGGTGGAGTTAGGGAAACCTTCATGGCAGAGGTGATAACTGAGCTAAAGAAGCCTCTCAGGATATCAGAAGGCCATTCAACCAAAAGGCACAAAGTCCGAAGTTACTCATTTGATCCCTCAAATCCTGTAAGGTGGGTGCTATTATCTGTTGCACAAAGCAGGGAATAGATTCGTAACAGGTTAAATAACTGATGCAGGTCACATGCTAGCAAGTGGAGGTGCTGAGGGTCAAAAACAGTCTGTGATCCTAGCCTATGTGCTACACTGATTCTCTGGATATGCCAAGATAGGCCTTCCATCAAAATGCACAACATCCACGAAAGCCCACTATTTCTCAGGGATGGTAAGACTGATGCATCAATGTTCTCTATCTGAAATTTTGAGAACTGGCATGGTATGAACATATTTTATGGAAGAATGGGTTCAGGTAAGGGCGGATATGGGCACTGTGGTCAAAGAATGAACTTTGCGATTTCAAGATCCAAAAGGATGAACAAATGAGAAGCTAAGGCGATCATTGGAGTTTAAAGATGAAACATTTGCAAAGTAAAGGTCCCCTAAGGAGAGTCAATAAGGGGTTAGGGGTGAGAAAATAACACGTGCTGAGGTCATCAAGAAGGGTGTGTGTGTGTGGGTGTGTGTGTGTGTGTTTACTTCCTGGAGATTGGGAAGGAGAATTAGGATGAAGAAACACAGTATGGTACAATGTCCTGATCTTCAAAAGAAGAGGTTGCTTCTGTGGTAGGACAATGTCTTGGAAATGAAAAACAGGGTTTAGAGGTATATTCTAGTACAGGTTGAGGAAAGAAGTGATGACCAGGGAGGAAAGTTGGGGGTCCCTTAAGGTGAGGTCTCGGAAGAGAACCCGTGGGAAAAGGCAGAGGTTTGAGGAAACAGGTTTACAGTGGAATAGGGCTTCCCCGGGTTGCTTTGTAGGAAGTCGCTAGGGCAAACTTAGTGGAGAGCATAGACGAACCTGGGAAAGAACGAGCTGAGTTAGATAGGAAGGAAAGTATGGGGGAGCATGGGCTTGTTTGGAAGCCTGACGGAGACCTATACCCTGGAAAGGAGAGGGGGTGTCCCTCAGGCGGTGATTGGTCCTCGGAAGTACTCAGTGACAGTAGCCAGCCTGACCCCCGACCATGTCTGATGGGCACTGGGAGGCATGACAGGGCTGTACCGGGGTGGGTCAGGGGACCCTCTGCTTCGACACACTCAACTTCCCAGGGCTGAAGTGGGTCTTGGGGATCAGAGCTCTCTCCTCTCGTCTTCCACGTGAGAACCGCGAGGCCCAGAGAGGTTAGGCAGCCTACCCAAGGTCACACATTACTTCAGTCCTGACGTCCACCCCCGGCCTGTTCTACTTCACACCCTTGCTCTGTCAGACGCATTTTGGCCTTTTCAGCAGCAGTGAGACACCAAGGGACGCATCCCCTCTGCGAAGAGAAACCCTCGGGCGTCATCTGGGCAGGAAACCGCCTCTGCCCCGCCCGCTACTCGGCACGGCTGCACCTGCGCGTCGCGGTTGCGGCCGGCGCTTCGCTGCGCGGGGGCCGCGGCAGTCGCTGCGACCAAATAAAGAAGGGAAAGTACAGCGGGTGACTGCACCCGGAGCGTGCGCCGAGGCTGTGCGTCAACCTCCGGCCACGGCTGAGTTATTTTGGACCAGGCTGCTAAATTAGTCACGCAGAGGGCACTTCTCCAACCCACGGCTCACCGAGCACATTCACCAGCGTGCAAACCCGGCGACGCCGGCGCAGCTCCAGGGGGAATGGATGCCGCCTGACGCGGTCTGACGCGGCCTCCCGCGCTCCAGCTTCCCCGTGGCCCAGCGCGGCCCGAGGGCGGCCCCTGAGAGACTAGTGGAGGCGCCACCGCGAGGGCCAAGGCGGGAAAGGCGACCGCGGGCGCTGATTCCGCTGGCTCGTCTCCCCCTGGCGACCCGCCTCTGCGCTGGGAGAAGAGAACAGCGGCCGCGGGTAGGATTCAGACTCTGTTACTGGGAGACAACCGTCAACTACGGGGCGTGGCAAGGGCGTGGCGGGCCCAAGGGGGCGTGGCGGGCGCGCCTCAAAGGGGCGGGGTGTGATGGGGCCTGGCGTCGCGCGAAGGGGCGTGGCAAAGTGCGGGGCGCGATGCGCACGCGCGCAGGGCCCGTCGCGGTAGGCCGGCGGCTTTCTGGCGGCGTCGACTCTTAGCCGGACGCAGGTACAGTGGTGGAAGCGTCAGCGCCGGGCCGGGGCCGCTTGGGTCGGGCTGCCGGGTTGTGGAGGGTGGAAACGGTCGCTGTTAGTGGGGAGGGATGAGGGTGTGGGAGGGGCAGCCACGGCGGAAGCAGGAAGTGCAGCGGGGGCGGTGGTGTCTCCCAGGAGCGAGGTCTGGCCTGTAAAGAGGCTCCTCAGGGAGAAAAGACGAAGCGAGAGTTCCCGGGGGGAATTCTCCTACTCAGCCCCCAACCGGGCGGGACCGCGTCGCGCCTACGTGGGTCCAAGCCCAAGGTGCAAGTTGCAAGGTGCAGCCAGCTCCGGTGACCAGCTTGTCCTGGTTTTGCCGTCTTGTGCCGATTTTAGCACTGACAGATTGCAGGCCTCCAGCCCACTGAACTAACCCTATTCTGCTGCTTGCGGCTCCACCCGGCGTAGACGTGGGAGGTTTTTTCACATAAGGCTTTTTTAACACTACTTTTAAAATATTAGGATGAAGGTATCCTGCACAACACCTTCCCGACCAGGCCCAGCTATGCGTGTCCTTGTAAGGTAAAAACTTCAAGGGGAACCTTCCTCCCTAAAGATAGGAAGAATACAGGGAAGAATACAGGAGGGCACATCTTGCTTGCTATTTTGCCCAGTAGAAGTCACATTTCAGCCCAGTTGTGGAGCAGTGAGGGTGATTCTGTGCTATCAGAGCTTTGACAGTAGAGACCTCAAGTTTGGAATTTTTCCCACATTCTGGACCCCCAGGATTCAGATGTCTAGCCTGAATAGCCATTAGCTTAAATTTTCCCATCAATTATCATTAAACTGGAAAAATCTAGATAATTAGAAAATGTGATAGGTTCCAGACAGAGCCATCCAATTATTTTCCTTTTTTAACTCAGAAAGCCTCATAGTGGAACAGCTGTTTGATCCATTCAAACGAAAGGATGAAAACTCTACCTAAGAACACGATGTGAATGGAAGAGACCTGTCATTGTGAGTCTGGCTTTTGATTAGTCACCCGATGTCTTCCCAGGGTGACATGACTTTGAGAGGATAAACTTCAGTGGCTGAGACACATTATCAGCCTGAACTGGCAGGCCTTACATTATTTTTTTGTTTTGTTCTGGACATCTTTGAGCCCTATTGGGAAGGATGAGTATTTCTCATGTGGCCTTAAGGAGTCAATTCACAGTATTGTTATTAGTACCTAAATGACAGTAGGAAATTGGAAATCAGGTTACCATTCGTGGTTACCACTAGTTTTTATAATGGGATCAGTGGTGGTAAGAGATGGAGGAATGAATTTTATGATTTTTTCCCCCACTTTTCTAGATAATCTTCCCCCAAAATAGATTGGACATGAGGAAAGCAAATAGTAGTTTGATGTGGCCCCTCTAAGGCATTAGCAATCAATCATTCTAATCTAGGGAGACATTAGAGATGCATGTGGAGGATAGGTAGATTAAAGTCACGAGCATAGATGTGCATTCTATATTTGACCTGTCGTGTTTTCTTGGTAGATGCAAATAGTACGTCACTCAGAACAGACACTAAGAACAGCTCTCATCTCAAAGAACCCAACACTTGTGTCCCAGTATAAGAAGTTAGATGCCGGGGAACAGCGTTTGATGAACGAAGCCTTGCAGCCCGCCAGTGATCTCTTTGGACCTATTATCTTGCATTCTCAGTCAGATTGGATCACCTCTCATCCTGAGCCTGCCCAAGACTTTGAAGAGTTTTTCAGTGATCCTTACAGAAGAACACCCTCTCCAGAGAAATGCAGTATTTATATACAATGCATTGGTATATATTGTAATAGTCTGGATTTGGTTGGTTTTGCAATGCTGCCGTTGCCAGGAAGAGTTTGGGCTATTGATGTCATTCAAGGGGGTAGTTTTTATGATCATTTTCGACATTCATTCCAATAGTGGAAGTTTCGTAGATAAACTTCCTTAAAAGAAGAAGACATTTTGTTTCTTTCTAATTCGTATTCATATCAATGAATGATAAAGATGTTTTGAAAATTTTGAGTTGGTTTGTTTCTAATTCCACATTTCTAATTATAGACTGTGTAAAGACCGAATATTTTAATCATCTTAAAATCTGTCTTTACATTTTCTCTTATAGGATCTCTAGGAAACACCAGAATAATCAGTGAAGAATATATTAAATGGCTCAAGGGCTACTGTGAAGCATTTTTCTATGGCTTGAAAGTAAAACTCCTAGAACCGATTCCTGTCTCTGCAACGAGGTGTCCCTTTAGAGTCAATAATAACACCCAAAACCTACAAATACATGCAGGTGAATTAAACAACTTTACAATTTGAATTGAGTAAAAGCTATGTATCATTTATACATTTCTTTTTAAAATAGGGCACATCCTGAAGTTCTTAAAAAAGAGGAAACCTGAAGATGCCTTCTGTGTTGTGGGAATAACAATGATTGATCTCTACCCAAGAGACTCCTGGAATTTTGTCTTCGGACAGGCCTCTTTGACAGATGGTATTCCTTTTTGACATTGTTGATGGAAACTTCCTCAACTTGAGAATATTTGAAGATGTAGAATGAGAGAAAAAATTTTAACCAATTATAATTTTGATACTTAAAACTATAATATTTCTGGTGCAGCATCATGCCTTAGTGTTGTTGATAGATTCCAATTATCTGGGTTCCTCCCAGGTTAGCCATTCACTACCTGTATGACCTTGAAGCTAATAATACCTATTTAACAGAGTCATTTTGAGATAATTTACACAAATGTGCCCATACATGTATACCTGGCACACATACAGGCCTTCAGCACAACAGATGAGAAATGTAGATAATTCAGTAGCAAGGCGAATTAAATTAAGGACATTTGAACTGTAATTAGCATAAATGAAAATCTTGCTACTTGTTTTTCAACTCTATTTTGGTCTTTCCTTCAGGAATCTTGCTTTCTTGAGTTGTTGCTTGTCTTGTCTTTGTAGGTGTGGGGATATTCAGCTTTGCCAGGTATGGCAATGATTTTTACAGCTCACACTATAAAGGCAAAGTGAAGACGTTGCAGAAAAAATCTTCAAGTGACTATTCCATTTTTGATAACTATTACACTCCTGAAGTGACTAGTGTTTTGCTGCTTCGGTCCTGTAAGGTGAGTTGTTTAAAAATCCTATAGGAGTATTTTTTTTAAAGAGATTCTAATTCCCTAAATTGTACATCACTAGTCCTGAAGGTAATATTATTAATGAGTTTGTATCATTTGTATGCTTTTGGTGGCTGTTGCTTGGCTGAAATGATCAATAAACAATTTAAATGGATACCTTAATATTGAAATTTACAGCACCTATGCTAGATTTTTGTCCTGTTAGTTACATGCAGCTTTAGCTGTACTCATATCGTCACCATTAGTTTTAATTCCAGAATTCTGGTGTGAGTAGGTAACCTACACTTTCAGACTGCTGTGGTCATCAAGTGAAGCTGTCTTGCTGGGGGCTGGGGACTCTACTCTCTGGCCTTTCTCTTGGGCTCCAGGCTACCTTCTACTGCAGTTAGTTCTGCTGACAGTTCCAGATGTCTCCCCTACTACTGCTCCTTGGAAATCCCATCTCCTCATTTTCCATAGCCAGGGACGTAGGCTTTTCTGCTTTCAGCAGTACTGTTTGCTGGGGTTTGAGAACTACACCTCATGGAACAGTGTTTTAGTGTACATTCCCTGTATCAGCATCACCTGATATGCTTGTTAACATGCAGGTCAAGCCCATCCTCCCAGACCTACTGACAGCATCTCTGGGAGAAGGGCCCCAGAATCTGAATGGTAACACAGACTCCACTGGTCTAGAGCACTGGCTCTCAACCGGCAGCAGTTTTACCTACCTCCCAGGGAACAAGTCAGGAGACATCTCTGGTTGTCACAATTGGGGAGGGGATGCAACTGGCATCTCGTAGGTAGAGGCCAGGGATGTTGCTAAGCATCCTACAGGGCACAGGACAGCATCCTTCCCATGAAGAATGATCTATGATCCCACCGAAAGTAGAGTGATGTCAAGGTTGAGAAACCCTGGGGTAATTAAGCAGTTAAGTATAGTGAGGAAGGCAGTGAGACTTTTAAGGAAATGAGGGATTAAGTCTGATTAGATTCCTGTAAATTTGTTTCTTGTAAAGCAAGAAAAAGGATGTGTAACTCATTGTTGATGATAGTGGTGCTCTAAAGCCTCAATGTGAATGTCTTGCAGACTTTAACCCACGAGATTGGACACATATTTGGAGTCCGGCACTGCCAGTGGCTTGCTTGCCTAATGCAAGGCTCCAACCACTTGGAAGAAGCTGACCGGCGCCCCCTAAATCTGTGCCCTATCTGTTTACGCAAGTTGCAGTGTGCTATTGGCTTCAAGATTGTAGAAAGATACAAAGTAAATGGTTGTGTGTGTGTAGGGGGTGGGGGGGTGGGGTGTCAAAAAAAGTGGGGATGTGATGATATAAGTAGCAAACTACGATTTTCTGTTAGGCCCTTCTCTGGAGTTGTCATTTATCAGAGGAAATTAGTGCAAAGATAAGCAGGAAGCTGTGGTTTCAAAAAAACATGCAAAGAAATAGCCTCCTTAAAAACTTTGATTTGCATCTGAGTGCCTTACACTTGTAGTTCAATGAAAAACAGTGGACGAGGTTTCTGTATTTGCCACTCATTTAGGGCAAGAGAGCCTGACTTTGCAGAGCAGAATAAATAATACATGTGGCAAAATTGATTTTGAAAAATGATCAAAATATGTAGAGGTGATTTATCTTTCCATACATGGGACAGAGGTATGATATTCATTAGGAGGAAAAGATTATTTTAAGAGGGAAGAGAAGAAAGTATGTAATCTCAGTATGTGTGTGAATGTACATGTGTCCACACATGACCACAAATGTATTGGTATACATCAGGTAACTTAACGGGTACAGCTCCTCATCCAGGTGACTGCAATACATGTCTACACGTGTATCTTCACATAATGTGTCTACTCTCAACTGTGTGTGCTCTTACATATGTGTACATGTTCACATCAAATTAAAAACACCCCGTGGAACATTTAGCAAGTTGAGAAAAAATTATCCTCTCACCCTAAGAAACTGTGAGGATTAGTGTATTTTTCATCTTTTCTGCTCTGCGTACTCCTGACTGTAATTGGTAAGCATAATTTACATACTTTTGGTATTGTTAGGTCCTGGAGGGCCCTGTCCCTTGCCCTGTCCTGTAGGAGCCACACTCCTCACCTTTTGTGTGGAAACCGGACCTTGCAACGTCTGGGCTGGCAGCACTACATGCTCACCCCCCGTTTCACTGGACTTTCCTCTCTTCCTTGGCAATTGACCTGCCCGAGATATTTCCATCAAAAATGCCGGCCTCAAGCCCCATATAAGTTTCAGGTCCCCTTGCATTCAGAGCTGATGCCATCTTCGGCTCAGCCTAGCTGTCACTCTGCTACAGTAAACCTTGCTTAATCCCTTCGGCCTTGTGCGTGCCTCCTTCGGCGAACCTAACAGGTACATGTCTCAGTTTGTCATCACAATTGTTTTTTCATGTTCATGAGCATCTTTATCAAATGGAACATCTTCATGGGATAATGTAAGTCACTGACTTAGATAAGCTGATTTAGAAGCCAATGTATTCTCTTGCTTAAAATTATTTTTGCTGTGCTTTGTGAAAATATGAATCTGTGTTCTGGTTTTCAAGGCGCTGGTGAAGTGGATTGATGATGAATCTACTGACACACCTGGAGTCACTCCGAAACATAGTCGTGAGGATAATGTCAATTTGCCAAAACCTGTGGAAGCCTTTAAAGAGTGGAGAGAGTGGATAATAAAATGCCTTGCTGTTGTCCAAAAATAAGAACTTCAAATAGGAATAATTAAATAAAGACTTGCACATTATGCTTTCCTTTGGGTAGAGGACTTCACTGGGATAAACTTTACTGATTCTGCCCTGTATCAGAGTAACAGAAGCACCTTTAAAGTACCCAAACTTGTAATGAGTCTCATTTTGAATGATAAGAATTCTCAGCTCTTTTACTTCTGTCTTAGTAGCCTGGTCTGTGGCAGCTAGCACATCATTTCCATTCTTCAAATATGTGTATGTCTCCTAAGAGAGCTAGGATTAGCAGTAACTAGTAAGTAAATAAACAGTGTAAACATAGCTGTATATATCTCAAGAAAGGATTTTCAAGGAACCTAATTTCCAAGGGGTGATTTCTGCTTCAATTTTTAGAGAGAGGTGCCCCCTCTCTGTTAGACCCAGCAAGGTCACCTTCTCCATTCACATCCCTTCTTTTCTGTGAACTTTCTCTGCCCTCTGGCCTGCCTGACTTCTTGTTTCTCTGCTTCTTGTCAGCTTCTCCCTGAAAGAAGCAACAGCATGTGTTGATTTTTAGCAGCTTTAAATGTGACCGTCTCTAGAATATTTACAAGTGAAAATAGGAGTAGTACTAGTACTATAACAGTGGTGAGGGGGAGGGAGAGTGTACATTGCAATGGTCAGCTTTAACCCATATAGTCATTTGGAATTCTTACAATTTGTTATAATGGTCCTTATGTTTGAGTGTCACACTTTTCCTATCGGATTAGAGCAGCTGTTGGGTTTATTCCTACAATAATGTCTCTCACTTTGCAGTAAGTGTTTGCTTGAGAAGGGGAGACAGTGTGATGGGCTTACCTGTCAGTGTGTTAAGAATGCCCATGATTCCCATCCGGCTGTGAACATCAGCTGCATTTCCATGGTGGGGAACAGGTTGAAAACCTCAGATGCAACAAACCACCTCTGCTAGATTACTGAGTGACGTGAGCAGAGAGCATTTCCCCCTTTCCCATCTTAACCTTGAGGGTGAAACTTAAAGGTAATTGTTATTTTTAACTTTGAAAATTTAATTCTTAAAAAAATTAATAAAATAAAATAAAAACCTTAATTCTTTTCCTGTTATGCAGTATGATTTAAACCACATTTTATAACCAAATCAATGGATTCCCTTACATTCACTCCCCTACTTGATTAAATCTGAGTCATTTCGAAAATTAGAAAATGGTGGTTTGCCATTAAAACCAAACGGAAAGTGAACACTTGCTAATTTATTACTGAGAACCCAATGGCTCATAAAACTTATGGGTTTTATTACCCCAAATAATATATTTTCTCCAAATAATGTATTTTTGGTTATTCTCAATTTTGTTGTTTTTCATTTTCCTACAAGGTAAGCACATTTTAGCCCTTGTAGTTCAGTGTTACTGCAATTTTCTTTATTGTGCTTTCCAGATATTTTGTTTTTCATTAATTGAAGTTTTGTGGCAACCTGTATCAAATAAGTGTATTGGTGTCATTTTTTCAATAGGTTTTGATGATAGTTAACATTTTTAGCAATAAAATATTTTTAAATTAAGGTATGCGCAGTTTTTTAGACATAATGCTATTGCACACTTTATAGTAGACTATAGTATAGTATAGTGTAAACGTACCTTTTACATGCACTGAGAAACCAAAAAAATTTGTGTTGATTAATTGTAAAATTTCCCTTTATCGCTGTGGTCTGGAACAGAACCCTCTGGATCTCTGAGATATGCCTGTACTTACAAACAACTCATTCTGTGAGGTGTGTAAACTGGGAGTTACAATTATTTGGACAAGATGTAATGCTCATTTGTACTAGTCTGCACTGTGAAATCAGGAGAAAGATCTATTAAACAAATTCTTCAGTCTTGTTAAAAGTTGGACAAAGTTTTGTAACAGGCATTTATTCAAAATCGTCACTTAAGTGTTGTGTATAACTAATTATTGGGTTGTATGTTCTTTTGGGCAATTTCTTAGGGTTGTTTAAAAATACAATCTGTTTACAGCAAATAAATTTTGTGTCCTATAGGTAAATCTTTGTAGTTTTAAAAATTTATTTCCACTCAGTAACAAATTCATGCAGATTTTGCTCTGCAAATGCTGAATGAACAAGATATTTTTGTAAGTGGAGAATTAATTTTCCACTGACTAAACACTATTCTAGAAATAAGTGAATCTGAAATGCTGTTCACGTTGGGGCGTTTGGAATTAGTAATACTCAGGTCAAGGGAAGGATTAAGCGTTGACATTTCAGTCCGCCAAGACGTTTAATGGGGAGGGTTAAAAAGAAGGAGGTGGCAGGGATTCTACTTCGGTTGTTGTCCAGCTTGTTCTTAGAAGCGCAAATACCCCTGATATGAGTACTGTTAAATTTCTAACCCTTTGGGTTCTCTTTTGGGAGCAAACTCCTAAAACTGAAACGGTAGGCGGCGGGACCTCCGGCCCGCCCTGCGTGCTGGCCCTTCCCCTGCAGGAAGCCGCATAGGTGTCCAGAGCTAAGCCGGAGCCGAGACCGGGCGCCTGGAATGGCAGCTGTGAGCCAGCACCCCAGCGCGCCCCTGCTTCTGTTCAGGAGACGTCCCGCCCGCGCCACCAGAGCGCAGGCTTGAGACTCAGCCTCTCAGGGCGCTGGAACCGCAAGACCTCGGAGGGGGGAGCACCCGACCTCACCCACCTGCTGGTGCTCACGTGGGCTGCGCCCCAGGCGAGGCCTGGAAAATGCGTCTGGCCGTGCAGCAGAGCCGTAAGTGGAATCAGTTCTTGGTAGAGCATTTAAAAAGTGCTTCCTCAAAGAGTGTGAATCTCAGTCACATCCTCTGTTCTGATCGATAACCTAGAGTAGCACTGTCTGATACAAATATAATATGAACCACATATGTTATTTAAACTTTTCTAGTCACATTGGCAAATGCAAAAGGAAGCAGGCGAAATTAATTTCAATCATATATTTTATTTAAGACGTCCAAAATATCATTTCGACATGTAATATAAAAATTATTGAACCATTTTACTTTCTATTTATGTACTAAGTCAGCAAATTCCGGCATGTTCACATGTACAGCACACTTCAGTTCCAACTGGGCCCATTTCAAGTGCTCAGCAGCTCCAGGTAGCTCATGGCTGCTGCACTGGACAGCCCCAGCTCTAGGTTAGTACCAATTTCTAGTCTACATGGAAAGACGTACCTATGAAGTTAATAGGAGAGAAAACTTTTTAGAAGGAAAGGTCATGCGGGGCTCCTGACAGTACGGTGTGTTGATATTCAGTCTGAAAGGGTTTGAACACTGTGGGGCCTCTGGAGTCAGTATTGGTTAGGGCTTGATACTTGCTGTTCTCTGTGTCAGATTGTTTTTGTAGCCTCTCATTGCCAAGGGCCTGCTGGTATTTCCTTTAAATGCATTTCTATTTTTGGAAAGCAGAACTGTGAAGTGTTAATGATATGGGTATTGCTGAGCCCATTTCACAGATGAGGAAACAAGCCTGCAATAGCTAAGTAAGCTGTGTAGTGACAGAAAGGGGACCAGATCTCAAGTGTCCCTAATTTCCATTCTGCTTTGCTTTCACTGTGCTGCCTGACTTCATAAGAAGTAAAATACCACAAACCTAAACAGTTTTTTTCAGATTGTTTATAGAAGGGATTATAACATTATAAACTTTTTCAACCTATTTCTATTCAAGTGGGGTCATCTGGGGTTACTCAAAGTTATAGCAATCAGAGTACTTTCCTTTAGCACCAAAAAAAAAAGAGTTTCGGTATCCAGAAAAGCGCTTGCTACCAGTTGAGGCATTTTTCAAAAAAGGATCATGAAGAAAATGTCTACTGGGCATAGGTTAAGTTAAAATCTGCTCCAGAAATATGTTAAAACTCAAAGCCTCAAAGCCCTCATTTGCATATCCACCCTAGTGGTCATTTCTTCCCACTGTTTAGTCTCTGATGGATCTGTTACCTTCCTCACACCTGACTTCCGTATAGAAGACATTATCTCTGGGCCCTTTGAGACCCATCTCCGATGTGGGACCAGTAGGCTTTGAGCACCATGCTTTCTGTATCCGCTACGGTGGTCCAAATGCCTCATAGCAGCACCAGACACTCTTGAGCTATAACTGTGAAGAGAAACCAACATTTTTCTCTTGAAAAACTCAGTGGAAAAGGAAGAACCCATTCATTTATTCATTCAACAGTATTTTGGAGCATCACCTACCATGTGCCAAGCTCTGCTGAAAACCTTGAACATGTAGCAGGAACAAAATACTCCCTCCCTGATATACAGATAGTAAATCAGTAGACAGATCCTTTTAGAACAGC